ACAAAAGCAAAAGCTAACATTATAAGTTTTAGTACATTACCATATTCAGATAAAAAGATAAAGACGCTGAGTTATTTTAAAAAATCAAAACAAACTAGGTGCAGGGTGACTGACAGTCATCAGGATTCATAATTGTCATTGCCTAAGATCAAGTGAAGAGTTCTCGATCTAATTGCAGCATTATTTCAAACAACATGCAATTTCATTTTTCAAAACAAAAATACAATAGGAATTAAAACATGACAAGTATCGAAGATTAGAACATACTTCATCTTCACGTCCTTGCAGTCTCCTCTTCTTCAATTTTTGCAGCTGTCTCCCTCTTTCAGCTTCACCCAATAACTGCAAGTCCGAGTCAGCATTAGCCATTCGCTCCGCTCTTGCTTCAGATCCAATTCCTTTTTTCTTCATAGATAACTTCTCAACCTTTGGTTGCTCACGGTTAGTGTTCTCAGCACTGGACCTGTTAAAAGACAATTGCAATACAGATGATCTAATTTATGCAAAACATCGAATGATGATGGTAATTATAATATGTAGATTCTTCAACCTCCATAAAATTATAAAAAATAAAGATTGTAATTAAGCTAGGATGACCCTACATATTAAGATTAAAGTCAATTATCAAGGTCTAAAACTTAGATTGTAAACAAGTACAGGCTTCAGTTGCAGCTTCTACGAGGAAGAATAAAAGATAAAATTGCAGAAACCATTCCTAAACTAGGGTAATAGCTCTTAGACTTAAAAGGCAATTGTAGAAACTCGAACTTAACCTTCTCCAGATCAATCACACCAGATCTTAAGAGAGTCCCATCCGATCTCTGAACAGAATGAGTGAACTTAAAAGCCTTATGCAACCAATCTCAATGATATGAACTGTATTGGCCATTAACACAACTCCCATGCCTTCTTTCGCAGATTAAACAGGATACTAGTACTCATGCATGGAGTAAAAATTGTGAAGGCATGAAGATACAACAATTCCCCCTTACCAACTTCAACAAAAGTACATAAATAAAGATAAAAAAAGATTGAAGCAAACATGAGTTCAAATTATTCTACCTTTGAGTAGATCCTTCATTATTCTTTGAGTCAGAAGTCCCTGCACATCAAATTCAGTACATCAAGTAATTTGCACTCGAGTAATTCTTATTTTGGGCAGTCAGGTCTCAAAGCCCAAACTTTGATTTAGTAGACTCTACGGAAAATATTGGTTGAGGAAAAGATAAATGGTAACAACGGTTTAATCATAATAACTTAGACCATCTATGCAAGGGTATCATCTTGCAAACATACTGTTCCATAAAATGTTTTCATTATGTGATGTGGAATGTGTGCACCCAAGCATCCACCTTTCATCTAAAGCTTAATGAACTGCCTGTTGTTCAGACTTTCTGACTTTGTCATCTACGTTTTCTTCCTTTTTATTAATGCTGTGGATATATAACATTCTCCATGTTATTCCCTATCCCATTTCAATATTGACTGTAATCAATAAGCCAGGAGAAACCTAAGAAAAGAGGAACCCTATGAGCTTTTTTTTTTTTTTTTTTCCTTTTTCAGATGAGCAATTATGTGGGTGCAGAGGTTTGAACAAACTTTTGGGATGGTAATAGGTACCTCGTCCACTTAGCTATGCTTAGATGAGCACCCAATGAAGTTATATATCCAATTCCAAGAGAACTAAAGAAAAGTTTGAGAAACACTTCCCCTTCTCCTCTGGCACCCAGTTAATGCAATTCTTCCCCATATGTCAAATTAAAAGTTGGACCAACATGAAACTAAACTGTTTAAGTAGCATCAGACATAGCATACGGAAACAGTGTGAAAGACTGAAAGATCATGGTTCCATATTGAAAACAATAAATTGCATAGAAGTACGCAAAGAATGTTTAAGTCACCATTTTTAGACTTGTGGTGAGATGGTGCAACTCCCAACTCTGTTCTTTTTCTTAATATCTGTTGACGCATTCGGGCATCAAAGTTAGCTTCATCATCATCACTATCGCTGTATTGAGGGAGGTTAGAATTTTCAGCATCTGAATCTCTACGAGACTCTTGTTTCTTTGATGCTAAAGTTTCTCTAACAGATAGCTGCATCTCCCTTGTTCTTTTATTGTCCTGCAGTCAAAAAGTTCATTATCTCATCAAAAAAAAAAAAGAAAAAAAAAAGAAAAAAAAAAGCTCATTATGTTCAGTCAGAACCCATCAAATAGTTTATATGTGCTATCAATTATCATAGATTCACAACTAAGCTTTTGCAATAGCCGTAGGTTCAAAAGTGCAGGTTACAAGAAAAGATTAATGACGCTGTTTCAGAAGAACAAATCTCGTATGGAAATCAAGGGGGAAACTGAAATGAAACATTCAGATTTCAAAAGGTGATTACTAGAAAAATATTGAGATCAAGAGAGCAGTAAACTTATACAAACTCATTATTTCCCCAAAAAAAAAGTTCCTTTTTTTTTTTTGGAAAATTGATAACAAATGTATTGAAAGTTGTTATTCTATTTTTGTTTATTTATTTACCAATTCACTGCTTGGAATCACGTCCTTCAGCAGACGTGGATCATCCAATACATCATGACTGCTCTTAATTTTTTTCTTCACAGCTGCCAGTTCTTTCTCGTCTTCTTCAGCTTCTTCTCCAAATGATAGTAAATTAAGTTTTCTACATTACATAAACATACAAAGCAACAGAGAAATCAGGGATAACCAATAGCATGTATCTCAAAAGAGAATTCCAAATTGTATCAACTCTTACTTCACAGCTTTCTTCTTAATGTCCTTGTTGTCAGAATCAACAGTGGATGGGATCCCAGGCTTTGCAGGCGCTCTTGGAACAATATCTTCAAATGGATTCCATAATACCTTGAGATAAGATTTTTTCAAAAGAAAGTTAGCCCCTTAAAGATTCTTTTGGCGTAAAGTAGCTTATAACAAACATGAAAGTAGCATCAAAAGTAAAAAGTACTATGAAACTGCAACCTAGTTCCAAACTTGTATTATTTAATCCTACCTCGACTGATTTAATCTTGGGTGGATCCACAGGACGGTCATCCTTGTCAGTTTCAAACTCACCCAAACTTGTTAGATTATATATAGAATCCCCAGTGACCTAGAACAACATGAACTCCAGCATCACAATAGCAATCAAGATAAAATGCACGATAAGAATCATAGATACCTTTCCAAAAATAGTGTGCTTCTTGTCAAGGTCATCACATCGACTCAAGGTTATAAAAAACTGACTTCCATTTGAATGAGGTGACCCAGCATTTGCACATGCTACTAAGCCCCTGTGCTTGAATCTTAGCCGTGAGTGAAACTCATCTGGGAAAACACCCCCATAGATACTTTCACCACCTGCACTAAAACATAGAAAGGTAAGCAGAAAAACAATGATACATAAGCACGATTTCTCCTACACGGGGAGAACTCTAGTTACACATTACAATTAGTAGTACCCTACAATATACAAATAAAGTATCTGGGAAAATATTGGTCGTAATGTTAGCAAGCAGTAAAACACAGTAGAGCATTAATAGATTAAAAATATTCAACATTCAAGATTAAATTCATGTCCCAATGGAAAATTGAATGCCCTACAATATGATGTTCCCTCTTTCTTGTAGTTGCCTATTTTCCTAACCCCTCCTTCGGACAATGGAATAATTCTGGGACCAATATCTTCCCCTCTACATAGTAGCCTGATATGCTTGATTAGCTCCTCCCTCCATTGTTCAATCATGGTGTTCACAAACACTTTCTTGTAGTTGCCTATTTTCCTACAATCGCTTATGACGGCATATCCCGTAATTATGTGCTGCAAAGTAATAAAGCATTCTTGATAGCTTAGGAACGATATCCAGATTTCAATTTCTCTGAACTACAAAACATCATTGGAAAGGGAATGATACAAAGTAAACTTCATCAACTACAAATTCACTGGAATTCGCCTAATTTCTCCGATAAAATAACCCTACGATTAGCTTACTCTAACGACCATCCACTTCGAGTAGAATACAAAGCTTTACAAAACCCTAGCCAAATCATACAATCAGATAAAAGCAAGAGAGCAATGGACGGACCTGTGCCACTGCCGGTAGGATCGCCGCCCTGAACAATGAAGTCCTTGATGATCCGGTGAAAGATGGTACTATCGTAATAGCCTTCGAGACAGAGTTGAACGAAATTTCTGACGGCTTTTGGAGCTTCCTTAGGCCATAGCTCGATGTCGAGCGGGCCACACGTCGTATTCAATACGACCTTCCCCCTCGTCGGCGGCTCTAGCACGTAAACAGTCGACATTTCCACTCAATTTCCAGAACCCGCTCACCGCTGCGCCGATATTCTTTCGATGAAGACGGAGGAGGGAGTCAAAACAAATTTCCGACCTCGAGCTTTCCAGTAAACGGCGTCGTCGTGATTTACTAATCAATCAACGCAAATTTCATTATTTCTACAAATTTCTTACATATGGAAATCTGTAATTCCGAGAGAAAAAATAATAAAAAATAAAATAATATTTAAAGCTTAATCTCTAGCTCTTGACTCGCTACAAATTGCTTGCTTTTAGTATAATCTCTCGTGACTTTATTTTTTATTTTTCTAAAATATCTCGGATTAAGGGAGATAGTATTCCTTACTTATAAACCCATAACGACAAGTCTAGTAAATATTGTTCTCTTTGAGCTTTTTCAGGCTTTCCGTCAACGCTTTAAAACACGTCTACAACCATTTAAAACAAGTCTACCCGAAGAGGAGGAAGGGCATGTGTGTGATATCACAGTTAATTACATCAATTCCGAGAAGATTGGGCCACAATCTCCATAAAAGGTGGATTATGTCTGGAGAAAGGTATTAGAAAAGAGGGAAGCTTTGGAGATTTTAGATTCCAAACTTTGCAAATCAGCCCAATCTTTGACTTCCATCCCTTTGCAGCACCGAAAGTGCCACACATTTTAACCCACCACTTCACCTCTTTTCGTTTCTAAACGATGCCGTTTCAAGGAAAAATGCGATTTTCTACCTCTTTGGGGCTCTGTGTTATGGCAGCGGCTCTGTTTTTACCGCCATCCGACGCCCAGCTGCCTGTGCCCTCCACCGAACAGCTTTGTATCAGCCAGTGCGTCACCTGCCCAGTGGTTTGTACCACGCCGACGCCGACGCCGACGCCGCGCTCTTACAGCTCTTACATTCCGTCGCCACCGCCACCGCCGCCTGCGTTTTATGGCGGCTATATGGGGCCGCCGCCGGCTTTGACATCGTCGTATTTTTTCCGGGGCCCGCCGCCTCCGGTTGCGAATTATGTTTCGGGAGCACAACCGTCGGGGCAGATGCCGCAGACGGTGGGGCCTCGCGATTATTCTTACCCTTACTACTACTTTTACAGTTCAAATTTGGGCTCCTTCGCTTCTCCTTCAACGTTCATTCTCTTGTTTGCGTGTTTTTTTCATGTTGTTTTCTGATGACGTCGATGAGTAGCTAGCTGACGTCATGATGCCATGATTTAATATGTATGTTCGATTAAAACATCCCATCTTTTGCTCTCCTTAATTTTAATGAAAAATTAATACTATGTTAGTTATTTGCTACGTAATATTTGTGTTCTCTATTATATAAATATAAAATATTAATTTAAACTATGTTCGCTAAAATAATAATAATAATAATAACCGTGACATTTTTTAAATTCAAATAAGAGATTTTTATTAAGCTATGTTGGATTGAACGTGATTGCGATAAATTTTAATTAATAATTAATTTTTATTATAGTTTTTAACTCGAAATTATTTATAAAAATTTAAGAGACTAAATTTTAATTTTCTTAAAAAAATAAAATAAAAAATGTAACATTATATATATATATATATATATATAAAAAAAAAGTTGATATGCGAAAAAATAACATAAAATAATAATTGTAAATACCATCCATATTGCATACCTTAAAAATTGCGCTTATTATTGTACGTTTGGCCTAAAAAGCGAGTATATGTTATATTGACAAGAATACCCCTCAAGGAAGAAAGAAAATTTTGGGGGAAAGTATGTCTCTTTCTCAGACGTGCAAAAATTTTTGGTCATTTCAGATCCAAATGGTGATACGATAACCGGTTTCGTCAGCGCGCAGGGACGAAGCTCATCGGCTCTCTGGTAGATCTGTGAGCCTACGTGATTTTCCGAACACGAATTTCTAGATCAGGGCTGTTGTACCAGTCGCTACGGAGGTCAGGAAAATGGAGACCGAGAATGCAGAGGAGCTTGCATCGTCGATGGCTTCCACTTTTCTTCCCCTCGCCTCCGCCGCGCAGCAGCCATATGTGTCGGAGCTCCTTTCCTTCACGCTCGATCGCCTAAACAAGGCAATTTCTGAATATCTCTCACCTGCTGCGTTTGCACTTGAAAATGGAGTGGCTAAGTGCTTCTATCTAGTTCGGAGATGACAATGTCTTGATATTCTTCTGGTTATTCGATCGATGAGCTTGAAGCTTAAACGAAGTAATTCAGTGTCTACTCTGCAATTAGTGACATATCTCGTTCTTTTATAGGAACCGGAGCTTCTTCAGGTTGATGCCGAGCGAATTCGGAGGCAAATACAAGAGGTGGCAGTCGGCAACTACCGAGCTTTCATTGCTGCCGCCGATGCGTTGCTTGCAATTCGGGAGGAAGTATCTTCCATCGATAAGCATCTCGAATCTTTGGTAATTCCGAAGTTCTCTTGCGTTTTCTTCATCTGAGTGCGTATGTTCATAATTTGAGGCCTTAATTCAGGGGACAAGTGCAGTTTATATCGATTAATGTGAAGGCGAATTAATGTGAAGGCGATTGTTGCCATGTGACTAATGATAGTTTCGAAATTAATCAACTGCATTGGAATTTGCATGGCAATCAAATGCTTCAATCAATCTTAAGTTCACTGGTTTGGTAGATAGTATACAAAGTGGAATCACTCAGGTTGTTTGTTTGTTTATTTTTCCTGTTAAAAGATTGACTTTCTGACGTTCCATTTCCCATGCTTGCTTTACAATTATTCTTGCTGATATTGTCATCATTGTCATTACTATGATTATAATTTTTCATTTACTACTTCATTGGTATTGTTATTATTGTTATTTTTAGTGGTAGGAAAATAACTATGAAGATGAGGTAATGAAACCAACGGATCATTCTGTTCTTCAGTTTACATGGTTTGACGATTATTTAATATTGAGATATTAATTTCCTCTGTTATAGATATCTGAGATTCCAAATCTGACATCGGGTTGCACAGAGTTTATTGAATCTGCGGAACAGATTCTAGAGAAGAGGAAGATGAACCAGATATTGTTAACACATCACAGTACTCTGCTTGATTTACTTGAAATTCCTCAGCTTATGGACACGTATGTGTTTGATTGCTTGACCTTCGCTCTAGAAATTTTACATTGTTTTAACCAATTATGTGATCTGATTAAACTGATGCATTTATGTGATTTTATCAAATATATGATTATCCATACACATTTCGAACTTGTTCAAGAAACCATGCTACAGTGCAAGCTGCAATAAGCATATGTTTTTTATTTATGTTACAGTGTAAGCTGAAAACATGTCACAGCACTTCCCTTTGCTGCCCTATGCTTTCTTTGAGGAGGAAGCAAAAGATTTCATTAATCTACGATAAGAATATGTTTTTTGAGCTATTGCTGGCATGTTCCTTTCCTTTTATTTCATACTGTCGTAAATAGTTCTGATATAAATTATTATTGATTTTTTTTTAATTTTTTTTATATTTACATTATGAATCTATTTTAGCCTAATAATAATACTCACCCTATAAAACTTTATGGAGCTGATTTTGGTTGGAAAAATATTACCCTACACTTGTGATGAGTCAACATCCACTAAGACATGGATTAATGTACCAACAGTTCTGTTATAATTTTCTTTAGTTAATTGCTACGGACATGGTTGATTATAATTGTAAAATATAAAGAAGAAATCATGTACTATAAATTTGAAGCCCGAGCTTGCTTTAGGAATTAATGATAGAATGAATTAATACTTTATTTCATATTATTTCAGTGATGTATTTTTAGAAGATTATGAAAAAGGTTTTTGGTGATTCCATCCTTCTGCAGGTGTGTAAGAAATGGAAATTACGATGAAGCTCTTGACTTGGAAGCATTTGTTGCCAAACTTTCAACCATGCACCCAAAGTAAAATTTCCTCCCGTTACTCTCCACACCAATTAATTTATAGTTTCGGAAACTAACTCTTTAACAAGCATTTTGATGGGACCCCGTTCTTTCCCATAGAATACCAGTTATTCAAGCCCTGGTGGCAGAAGTCAGGCAGACTACACAATCTCTTCTTTCTCAACTTCTCCAGAAACTTCGCTCAAATATTCAGGTATCTTGCATGGCTTATTATGTTGCTGCATTATGTGATAAAAATCTTGATATGAATATAATAACCATGTCTTTAAAATGGCAGTTACCTGAATGCCTCCGCATCATTGGATATTTACGTCGAATTGGAGTATTTAGTGAATATGAAATGCGTTTGCAGGTAGAAGTCTCTCATTTGTTCTAAATCTACATCTTTTCTCATCTTGAAAATTTATAAGCATTGTGCTGTTTTAAATTTTGTTTTCTTTCCGATGGATTTAATTATATGGGATTGCATTTGCCTTCTTTCAGTTTTTAAGATGTCGAGAGGCATGGCTGACTGGAATTCTTGAAGATCTTGACCAGAGAAATGCTTATGAGTATTTGAAAGGAATGATTAATTGTCATAGGACACATCTTTTCGATGTTGTTAACCAATATCGAGCAATCTTTGCTGATGATACGTCAGGAAATGAAGAAAATTATGACAGTGGGCTTCTGTTTAGTTGGTCCATGCATCAGATTACTTCTCATCTAAAGACACTCAAAATAATGCTGCCAAAGATAACAGAAGGAGGATCCCTATCGAATATATTAGAACAGTGCATGGTAAAATGAATTCCTTTTGAGCGATATTTGGTTGACTTATGGAGTTTTATTTATTTATCAACTTTGGGTTCTAGAATCTCATGGCAGAGTAAGATTCAAAGTTGTCCTCCTTGCTCGTATTTCGAAGCCTAATTCCAAAGTTACGGAAATAATGTGCCCAAGATTCAAAGTTATCCGATCTAGTTAGTTTTATAATGTTTGCTTTAATTTTGAAAAAGATCCTTCTATATGGCCGAAAGGCCAATTTCTAATTGTAACCTCACTCTACTCTTTTTCTCCATTTGTGTGTGTGTCTGTGTGATGCTTGATTGGAACTGCTAAACTGGGTACTTAGATCATCAAAATAGTAATATATTCACGCAATGCCAGTTTCAATGTTATACAATGCGGCTCCAACCAAATGACTTGGATTCCCAGCTACTTAATTTATTTTTTATTTCTCTCTATCATTTGCAGTACTGTGCCATGGGGCTTGGCTGGGTCGGAATGGATTTTCGCGGTTTGCTTCCTCCACTTTTTGAAGAGTAAGGCAGTTATTTATTTTGGTTTCTGTTCCATTCAATCGATGACAATAAAATGATTTCTTCATAATAATTTGATTTAATTACTCCTCAGGGCAGTTCTCAATCTATTTGCAAAAAATATGGGTACTGCAATCGATAACTTTCAGGTAATACATCAGAAACATCCTTTCCTCTTGAGAGACTTAAACTCCCCCCAATTTAATTTTGCTACGAAAAGGCTAGCGAGAGTCCCTTCGCTGCAATCAAGATCACTGTCATGTCTAATGACCGTGAAATGCTTATTGCCTTTGCAGTTAGTTCTGGATTCCCATCGTTGGGTTCCATTACCAGCAGTTGGTTTCACCGCAAGCAATATTGGTGAGGAAAGTCAGGAAGACGTGACTCCACCTTCGTATTTGATGGAACATCCACCTCTTGCTGTTTTTGTAAATGGTATGCGTATGTCAGATATTTGTTTTCCCCATAAATTTTTTCAAGCACATTGAACTAAAAAGAATATTAAAGAGGGTACATTGCAACTGTGCCTCGCTTTTGTAGCCTGATCCATGTTAGTATTAAAGGCTTTTAGCTGCGTGATGGTAGATTCCTTTGAAGCTGGAAAAAAAATAGATGTGGTATGCATATTTGTTTTTTTTTTTTTTTTAAGAAATGCTAAGAGTTTACTTCATAATTTGATAGAACTAATTTATTAACCTGACTGTAGTGTTCACCTATGAGCTCAGAGTAAGTAACTTGTACTATAAGGTTATTTTGTCGCAATACAATCGGTCTGTTAATTGCATCTTCTTTTGGTGGTATTAGGTGTATCAGCAGCCTTAAATGAACTTCGCCATTGTGCCCCGTTGAGTTTGAAGCATGTGATAGCTCAGGAATTAATAAAAGGATTGCAGGCCGTTTCCGACTCTTTATTGAGATACAACACAACTCGCATGCTAAAAGATAATGAGTCTGGACTTTTTCTCCAGCTTTGCCGAGCATTTATCGAGGTGCTGTTTTGGTTTTTGCTTTGCCATTGCCATCTCCAACTTACTCTTCTAAAAGAAACCTCTCTCATTTTGCACCATCTTCTGCAGGTTGCTTATCCACATTGTGCCACATGTTTCGGTCGCTGTTATCCCGGCGGGGCAGTGCTTATATTAGACGCAAAAAATTTGTACGATGGCATCGGTCGCCTATTAACCATCTCTTCCTCAAGAGACCTCCCGGCAACAGTCAATAATGCGGAAGAGCAAGTTGCAGAAAATGGTGACATGCCTGCGCTGGAAAATGGAGCAACACCGGATGCTGATAAGGACCAGAAAAGCCCCCCTTTGCACAGCAATGAAAAACAAAGCGAGGGTGAAGAAGCAGAACAGAGCAATTAAATCCAATAACCGATACTTGATTTTGTAGCCTTCCATTAATTTTTTGGGGTCTAATTCTTTTAAACCATCGTTTGTAATTATTCTCTAGGAAGATTCATCAAATTTTCAGCTAAAGTTACGGTTATTACATTCAGTGTATGATAGAGGAAACATGGAGAGTTCAATGAAAATATTTTAGTTCCAAAAGAGAAAATCGGACTAGTAGGGTTTTGATCCTTAAATTTGCGTAAAAATATAATATCTTAACTAATTGATGTATTTGAATGAAAAATATAGTATTAGCAGAAATCTTCGATTTAAAAACCATTTTCAGTCTTCATAAAATAATAGTTAATAAAAATATATTTGATGAGCAAAATTTTAGAACTCTATTTCCTCAGGCTGAAACTATTTTTGAAACATTCAAGTTGGCATTTCTTCGAAAATTTATCACGAAGTAGGTCAGCAATCAGCAATACGGTGCGTTTTGATGCTTCCTTCCGGCTTGGGCTAGTTGACAGTTAAGAAGCCGCCAAAACGCTGCGTTTTCGGTTCAAAACCCTCTCCAGAAACCCTGATTCAGCTCTGTGGCCCTTATTGGCGGCAAAGCCGTTGTAGCTTAACACAGACTCTTGCACTCTTCCCCTTCCAGTTCTTCGATCTGAAGCTCAACAGGTTGACATAAATATTCTGTTTATTGTAGATTTTATGCGAAGTTGTATGTCATCCATTTGTGTTCATTATCGTTATCTCCTTTGAATGATTCTCAATGTTGTGGCCTTTTCATCTTTGCCTGTGTCGTTCTTTCTCGAATGGAATACTCAATCGATGCTCAAATTGTTATAATTGGAAAGGTTAGCTCAAGATTCCATGCTAGTTATTTTGAGAGGAATTTTGCATTGAGTTTCCTCTTCTTTTCCTCGGAATTAATACTAATGTACAGGTGATTTCGTGTTCTTGGAATGTGCGATGACTGCGTTATGTTGAAGCTATAAAAAAAATTTGTTTTCCGGATTTTTCTTCTTCATGTAGCTTTGTGGGAGAAGATAGCTTCAAATGTACAACAGCCTGTGGAGCTACAACCTGCAATTCAGAAGATTCAGATATACTCTTTCTCCAATAATGGAGTTTTTTTTTTTTTTTTTTCAATCGTGTGTATTCTAACATATCATGCCAAAGAACATACTGAGTTCATATTCTTGAATGAGATGCAGATGCCCACATATCTCATTCTTGCATAGAAGTATGAAAGAGATGCTAAGAAGTACTGGGATATCTTTTACAAAAAGCATCAACACAGAGTAAGTTTCTACTACTTTGGCTAGAATCTTTCCTCAACTAGATAACTACTTATATATAATAACTATATAACTTAAGCCCACTGCTACTAGATATTATCCATTTTGACCCGTTATGTATCGTCTTCCGCCTCACAATTTTAAAATGGATCTTGGGTACCCAAGGAGGTGGAAGCCCAAAAAGGTGGATTGTGAAATCTTATAAAGGCGTGAAAACCTCTCCCTAATAGACGCGTTTTAAAAACCTTGAGGGAAAACTCTTAAAAGGAAAAGTTTAAAGCATACAATATCTGCTAACGGTGAGCTTAAGCTGTTACATGATCACCAATTTTGAATCCTACTGTGTAAAATGAGTAGCCGCATATTTTTTCATTGATTTACGGGGCCTAGCGTCCTTACTGGCACACCGTCTCGTGTCTACTCCCCTTAGGGGAACAACTTCCTCGCTGGCACATTGTCCGACGTCTGGCTCTAATACCATTTGTAACGGCCTAAGTTCATCGTTAGTGGATATGGTCCTCTTTGAGGTTTTTTCTTTTGAGTTTTTCCTCAAGGCTTTAAAATGTGTTTTCTAGGAAAAGGTTTCTACACCTTTATAAATGGTGTTTCGTTCTCCTACCTTTATAAATGGTGTTTCGTTCTCCTCCCCAATCAATGTGGGATATTACAATAGAATAATTATTGTTTGGGTAGAGTAGTGAAAAATTCTATCGCCCAACTACTGCTTCATTTTCAGCTGATGTTCGCTTCTCTCACCTCAGAAAGTTTTGAAATTTACTTATACTTTACAATTTTGATCGTTTTCTATTCCTATGCTTAGTTATAACAACTTAGTTATAATACGTTATTTACTTCCATTTTAATTTTTAAATTTTTCAAGCCCCGACACTCCGAGGACAAAGAATGGGGCAATATTTTGCTGTCGGTTGAACACGACTTGAGGTTTAATTGTAGCATTATTTATAAGAGTGTGAAAATTTCTCCCCCGTAGACATGCTTTGAAACTGTGAGGCTGACAACGATACGTAACCGGCTAAAACAGACAATATCTATTAGCGATAGGCTTGAACTATTACATTTATATTGAAAAATGTGGCTTAAGTGGGCAAAAGGATTGGTTTGCTTACTAAGGACACATAAAGACTTCAATGAGAGCCATGTTGCTGCCTTTGTTTGTGATCTTACTGCTGATAACTTGAGAAACCACATTTATCCATCATTGATATATAGTAATGATGGTAATTTACTGAAGATTTCTTAGTCACAGTCTGAATTTAAAGTTTTCTCGTTATTAAACTATATTAGTATGTTGATAACCTATTCTTGATCAAACAGATTTTTATTGTGTCTGCAGTTCCCCCAGAGAAGATGTCCCAGGTGTGGCATAATCTAGCACTCATTGAGTTCCAACTTTTTTCACAGGTATCGCTATGAACGGATTATAATCCAATGAACGGATTTGTTCTATGCACATGGTGACTTTGCTTGTTAGGAACCACGAATATCCGCAATGGTATGATATTGTCCACTTTGAGCATAAGCTCTCGTAGCTTTGCTTTTGATTTCTCCAAAAGGCTTCATACCAATGGAAATAGTGTTTTTACTTATAAACTCAACGTGAGACTATTCCTATCAATAATACACGTTATGTTTCTTTGTTCTCTTTTTTCTGCTTGTGCTATTCTGCTTTCGTTCAACTCATGCCTAATTGACTCATCTCATCGTATGATATCTGAAGGACCTCTGAGATGTTTTAATTATTTGATACTTCAACGTTTATATTATCATTTCCCTCTGTTTTTGTCGGTCTTTATATAAGACTCTTATGTTTCTTCCCCTTAGGCTTCTACTGCAAAAGAGTTGTTCTAGATCTCGTCTAGTAAGGATACAGAATGTGCATTGATTTTTTGCCACGTCCTGCGTCGAGTCGATGAGCCAACGATCGTTTCAGCTGCTAATCGATTCGGTTTTATCCCAAATCATTGTGAGTTCTTGGTTCACTGATAGATACTAGGATATCCCCAGTACTGCGTTGCATATTATGTATTTTCATGTTTCATATCAGCTTTCCTTTTAATATATGTCAAGGGGCGTAGAATCATTATGTGAATTCCTTTTAATACTGGATGGTTTTGAGTTGATATTTAAGCTTTGTTTAAGATGGTAGAGCATTTATTTGTACAAAGGGAAATGGACGTGTAATTTATGAAATACCCTGTGTTTGTGGACTGTATATGATTCTTTTAGACGCATCATTAGCTTCTGAACATCCTAACTATACTCGGTGAATAGCAATGTCGTTACTATTTAGTTTTTGAAAATTTGAAAATTATACCCGTAGATTTTCATATTTTGTTATCTACTTGTCACAATCGCACTTTTGATGGTAGCAGATTTGCGATTGTGTGACACTTACTTCCGAGAAACAAGTAAACTAGCCAATTCGTTCTTGCGTCGCTTACGACCAAACAATATATGTTTTAGAAAATAGGGAGGAGAGAGATTTCGAAAGAGAGTTTTGAAAGATTGAAATTGGTGTTACATGTAATGCAATAAAAAAGACAACAACAATGGCTTACAACATATGATTATCAAACTAAACCTTAAATATTTGCATCAGTCCATTCTTCTTCTAATCACGTTTCTTCGGTTTTTTTTCTCGGATAACTTCCTCTACGAGACGTATGAATCTCGGCCGCTTCCTTCCTTTTTGAAACAAAATTACAACTTTTGATAATGAAAATATTTGTATAGAAAAAATTTAAAACATTTTTTTAGAAGTTTCAAGTCTTATTCTAATAATTACAATAAAACTTACAAACCCAAGAACAAAAGGCAAAACCCAATTAAAAAAACCCCTTAATTTTCATTTGAAAAACTAGCTCACCACAATGTTACTATATTAAAGTGGAACATTGAAGAACAAAAACATGGATTAAAAGAAGAAATTGTGGATGAACTTGTAAGTAAAACCAATACCAAATTCAAGTAAAGGGTTTTTATTTGCAATAAAGCACGAGTAACGTGGTAGATATCAAATTCTCTTTTGAATATATACTGAGTTAGCATGGCGTTGGAGAACTTATAGAACAGATGTTCTTCAAGTAACATCATAGATATCAATTTTTTACCATTATTAGCGTAGAAAAGGTTCTTCTCGAGTATCTATTCTGAAACAAACAAGCACGAAAAGCTATATGCATCCAAATTCCAAAGCTCCCCTATTTAGAAACATCCATAGAGATTGAAAATGGATCAAATAATCAATCAATTTATGTGATCTCTTAGAACATTACACCCACAAATCCAAACAAGAATTCAAAGAATTCTCCACTTTCTCCTTTAATTATTGTCAAAACCAGCATAAGAAGAAGGAAATAAGGGAAATTAAAGTGCTTTAATTACACCCAATAACACACAAATTAAATAAGAACCAAAGAACAAAGATCAAATCAAATAAACCCAACTGGGTTTTACCACAAACATGAATTTTAAAGCTTCAAAGAAGTAATTTTGCACAGAAATGTTTCATTTTCACTTGGATGTACAAGACAAAAAGCTGTTAGTATGAACAAAAAAGGTGAAAACTTTAGGTAACCCACATGGTAAAAAACATAAATTCAGTAAAAAAAAATAAAAGAAGAGAGAGGGGACATGGTGGGGTGACAGATAGAGAGTAAGCACAGAAAGCTTCAAGCATGAACCCTAAGATGCAAGAAAGTACCTTATGTGCTCACTCTCTTCTGTCACCTCCTCCTCCTCCATCTTACCCTAAACTTCAATTATAAACATATTTCTTCTTCACCTCATCTCCAATGGAAATAACAAAAAAAACACAAACCCCATAAGCTGTCCCACAAAATTGGAACAAATTGAGGTCTGTGGGTGAGTTGTTGTGTGAGGAGGGGGAAGCATTGTGGGTTTATATAGAATTCTAAAACGAGATCTTTTTAATAAAAAAAGACCATATCACTCCACCAACTCGATCCTTTTAGATTATCTAACCCTAAACTATAAAACTTTGTGTAACAGTCCAAGCCCACCGTTAGCAAATACTATCCGTTTTTACCCTTTACGTATCGTTGTCAGCCTCACGATTTTAAAATGAAGAGAGATTTTTACACGCTTATATAAAGAATGTTTTGTTCTACTCTCCGACTGGCGTGGGATCTTTGGGTTGAATTTTTTTGATTTAGTTGGGTTGAATTTTTGAAAAATTTGAGTTCATTTACGAGTTGACTTTTTTTTTTTTGTTGTTGGGTCAATGCTGAAAATATTCATTAATTAAAGTGACACCAATTATACGATTATTTGGGTAATTAATAGGCTAAAAAATGATGCCCATTACATGAGATAATTGAGATTAATTGGGGGATTAAAGTGAGTATTAAAGAGGATTAAGAAAATAAAAAGGAAGCTTCGATGAATGGGCCAATAAGATTTGAAAAGAAGGGCGCCAAGGCTCTAAAGCAACTTAATTAAACCATTTATGCTTTATAATTATTTAACCTAATCATCATCTAATCCTTGATTAATTTTATTTTTTTCACCTTCATTAATTTTTGTATTAATAAACACAAATATCAAATTAAATTAACAAAAAAATTGTTTTTTTTTAAAAAAAAAATCTAAAATGGAGAGACAAATTTAATGATTTTTTTTTTACCCAAAAGGGAAGGTGTTTGTCAACTTTTCATGGAAGCTTTCCCTTTTGGGATAGTAGAAGATGAGAGAATGCATGCTATGGGACACATGTGATGATTCTTCCCCATCATCCATCAAAATATATATATATATATATATATTTTTAACTACTTTTTTAAGTGAGAGACTAATAATGGTGGCAACGGGCCAGACTCGTAAAGCTGATACATCTTTTCGAGCTTAACTTTAATCAAGTCTCTACATTTTAAAAGTTCTTAATTTGACCCGTTTGAGCTTAGTTTCAAATCTATAACGAGTTTCGATCAAACATACATAATTTAACCAGTTGAACTAGAAACCAATTCTGGAAAGTGTGATACCATTTGTAACAGCTCAAGTTTACTGTTCGTAGATATTGTGCGGTTTAGTCTACATTACGTGTCGCGATTAGTCTCACAATTTTAAAACGTATCTACTAGAAAGAAATTTTTGGGTAAGAATATGATACTCCACTTTTAAGGGAGGGGAGGAATTGAATAAGGTGGGATGGCAAAGCTAGCAAATAAGCAAATAGAAAAAGGCATCTTGTGGGGTTAATGGTAACCCTAATTCGAGGCAGAGTTGGCATTTATATATATATGAATGGGCGCATGCACTTTCGGCCATAGGCGGCCATGCGAGTCCAGGACAGAACGTGGGGGGCCGATGGGCGATGGGCGGTGGGCGATGGCCAATGGCCGATGTCCAAAGGCAAAGGCAAGGGCAGTAGAATGAATGATGAGGAGGAGGGGCATATGAGTTATTGGGTTCTTTTGTTTGTTTAGAATCATTGTATCAGTGGTCCTAAAACGTTCCATTTTGTATGGTTGGGGTTCATTTTCTCCATTTCTCAACAATGGAGAATTTCATTCTCTACAACCTCATCACAATCTTAGCTTACCTTCCCTCCTTTTTTAGATACTAAAATAAATTATCCAACTTTATATTCCATCTTACAGATCTTAAACAAAGGTCGAGTTTTTATATACTAGATACCCTTCGGGTCTAGGGTTACATCTAATTATACTCCTATGGTTTCAAACTTTAATACCCATTATTCGAAATCTTCAAATAAAATATCGTCTTGTATGATGTGTTTGAGTTTTATTGAACATGCTTATAGGTCTGCTTAAAAGAAGAGTGAATTGACTTTTGAAATGAGGTTAAGCATATCGCTAGCAAATATTATTCACTTTGGCTCGTTATGTATCGTTGTCAGCGTTCTCGTCTGCATAACACTCAGGGTCTAGCTTTGATACCATTTTTAACAGTCCAAGTCCACCGCTAACAAATATTATATGTTTTGGTCTGTTACGTATCGTCATCAACCTCACAATTTTAAAACACGTTTGTCAGAGAAAGATTTCCACACCCTTTTAAGGAATTCTTCATTTCCTTCTCCACCGATGTGGGATCTCTCGGGGTTCAATATTATATTTGTTGGAGAAGAGAATTTGTGATGCCCGAGTAAATGAGAGGTACATGAGTGAAGCGATACGACATATGAATAAGATGATTGGATGACTAGAGTAATTATATACCAACAAAGTATATGGTCGGTGAGATAAGAGTCTTCACTCCTGCCCATATTAGAGCATATGCAAGAATTTTATAGGGTCTAATTTCCATTCTAATTCCATCCCATTTCTCAACCATGGAATAATAATAATATTATTATTTATCAAATCAGTTAAAAATAATAATAATAAAAGGAGAAAAAAAATCCTCTGATTTTCATTCCCTTTTCTTTAAGTAAAGATGTCCAAACCAAATGGGCCCCGAAACAAAATGGGCGCTTGCAGTGGGCTTCACTTCCATATTAGAAATGGGCCCTGAAACAAATAGAATTAGGCCCAATTTTGCCCAAATAAATGGGCCTCGCGTCCATATTAGAAATGGGCCCTTAATTCCATGTCAATTTTTCTACTCAAATTGTAGTTTTAAAACCCTTGTAATTTAAATGACGCTATTCATAATTCAGCTAATTAAAGATGAAAAAGAGTTGAAAAATAGGCCAAAGACACAAAAAAAAGTAAAAAAAAAAAAGAAAAGAAAAAGAAAAGGCCATATCAGCCAGTAACCAGTTGACACGTAGCTGCCAAGGACTGGAGGGGCATCTGATCCGCACGTGATTAGCCCACCGGCTTTCGTGGGGTCGTGGCCTGGTTTAGTGAGAAATGAACAAGGCAAAAAGAACAAATTTTTGTCGTTGGATGCAAAGCTTTGACGTAAATCTCAGTTCATCCTCAAACCTTGCCGTACCCTTTTCGATCTCTTGATTTCTTCTTTCCCAATTTCCTTTATTTTCTTCTTTTTGTGTTTCGATTATCGGGCTTTCGGGAACCAGATGTGGGAGCCGATTTGTTTAACTTTGGCGGCCGCCGCAGGCAACAACATCGGCAAGGTACTGCAGAAGAAAGGCACCGTCATTCTTCCTCCCCTCTCTTTCAAGCTCAAGGTTCGGTATCCCCTTTTCTTTTCAATTTTGTTTGTCCATGTCAGTGGTCGTTGTGATCTTCTTGACATTTCCTTCTAGGTCATTTAATTTCATGCGATTCGTTTGTTCTCTTGTTCTCCCTTCAACAGCGATGGCTAATTGTATTGTGTTTCATTGTTCATCTTCTTTGATTTTCAATTTGTCTTTACGGTTGAATTTCATTAGGGATTTGGGCTGTCGAGATGATTATAAACAACAATCCTTGAATGAGTTGATGAATTCCCTCTGATTGACTGTGTTATATAGGTGATTAGGGCTTATGCTTTTAACAGAGCTTGGATCATAGGTTTTCTGATGGATATATTTGGAGCTGTGCTAATGCTGAGAGCGCTATCCCTCGCCCCTGTAAGTCCTTTATTCAGCTACTTCACCCTTTCCTTTTCAGTTGTTTGATCGGTATTGCATGATTAATTCTTCAAGTTATTGGACGCGTATGTTGTTTTTTCTAAGATCTAAATGAACTAGGGTTAGTGTATATTATCTCTCACTGAAATCCCTGGCAATTTAAATGTTTCATCTGTAATTTGATGTTGCAAAACTGGTTCACAAGATTGCTTTTTTTCCCAAGATTCATACCTCATAGGAAAATTTATACTCTTCTGTCAATGAATCTTGAGCTGATTTTCTTCTTCGTAATCTGCTCGTCCTTTCTAATGACTGTCTTTCAGGTATCTATTATTCAACCAGTTTCTGGATGTGGGCTTGCCATCCTCTCTATATTTTCACATTTTTATCTGAAAGAAATAATGAATGTCGTCGATTGGATGGGGATTACGCTTGCTGGCATTGGCACCATAGGTAATGTAAGTTCATTTTTGTGTCTTTAATCTAATCGCCGTTTTAATCTTTTTTTCCCTTACATTTCTGTAAATGTTCATTTGGTGTATCTCAGGTTTGCTTCTGCCTTTATATGTATCTTTATGTTCCTTCCTAGTACTGTAATTAATTTAGTTCTATTGTAGGGGTTGGTGCTGGGGGCGAGGAGCAAAATGCCTCTGAGATATCAATTTTCCGCTTACCATGGCTAGCATTCTTCATTACCATCTTGTTTGTAGGTATCTTATATTATCATCACCTGATATTTTGTAGAAATCTCTAGATAGGGCTGTTTGAGTTAGTGGTTTTATGGCCTTGCTTCCAAAAACAATATAACATTCTAATAATTTGTAAATTGAGCTGCAAACGGTGAAAGTGCTAATATCTCGATGCGATTGGATACATCTATATTTTAACAGGTTCTTCTTAATGGATGGCTTCATTTCTACAAACGTCAAAGGAGAGAACAAGAGTTGGTAAATTCATTGCTTTTATGTTGATCTTTCGCTGGCCTTATTGTCCTTCTAAAAGAATAATATGTCATAAGCATATCTGTGTCTATTGCAGATGGAATTTGAAGTTGTTGAAGAAATAATATATGGTTTGGAATCAGGCATTTTGTTCGGGTACTACTTTGGCTTGCACTTCTCGACTTTATTAGATTACATATCCTGCAATTATTTAGGTTGAGTATGAATATTAGGAATTAGAATTTTGCTTCACTGTGAGAAATTCTGGCTCCTGTCTAGTTTCTAGCATATCCTAGTTTGTTTCATTTTGACAAGAAAATGAAAAATGAATTTTGAATTTTGAATAGCTCTATTATTTATTATGGTTGTCTGAGTAGTCCAAGGTTCACGATGTTCGATACCTGGAGAACTATTGCTATACGACATTTTGAAAGGGAAACAGCCAATGAACTTTTTAGTTTCATGGCAGCAGAATGACATGATTAAAACGTGCATTTGCAGGATGGCATCTGTAATATCGAAGACCGGATTTTTATTCTTGGAGCAGGGCTTCCACGAAATATTAGTTCCTATATGCATCCTTATAAGTATTTGTTGCAGTGCTACAGGATTTTACTATCAGGTAGCTTGAAATGCTTGGTAATTTGACTTCTTTACGAAACTGTTCTGCATTGAATGTTAACTGTTTATCGATAACGTTCTCCTATGTTCTTCAAATTCATATTAACTATGTCTTGTCTTTAGTAGACTCGAGGACTAAAACATGGGAGGGCCATTGTAGTATCTACATGTGCTGCTGTGGCGTCTATTATTACTGGTGTTGTTGCTGGTATGCTTGCTTTGGGTGAAGAATTGCCATCGTCGCCAACCGCTCGCCTTTTCCTTCTGCTTGGATGGTAAACTAGAAATTTATATCTGTTCTGTGCTCTATGCATTCCCACACCACTACCTTGGCTTAATAAAGAAAATTTACAAATGCTTTCCAAGTATGTGATAAATGAATGCATAATTCCTTATCTTTTTCAAGGGTGATTATGTGATGGGATTAGAATTTTGGTTCGTATGATGTACGTCATATGCATGTGTTACTTAAAGAACAGTTACTTTGTACAGGCTGCTAATCATCGTAGGAGTTATTCTGCTTGTGAGTTCGTCACGACTGATCCGACGTCTTACGTGGCTGTACCGTCGTTTCAAGCAAAGTGGCACCGATAGGAACTTTGGGCAGAGATCTGGATCATCTGTCCGTATAAGAGATTCAAGTCCAAGTGCTATCATTCAGACAACCACGTTACACAATTTGCTATTGTCAAAAGCCAAGGCCGACTCTTGAAGAACATGGAGACGGTTGATGTATAGATACTAATGTGGGAGATCAGGTATGAACATATGCTGATCTGGGTTGGAATCTGGCAATGCTCTTCACTTTCTGGTGGGTGTATGTAGAGTATATCTTCTTTTCTTAGGCACCACATTTTGTGAAATCCCCTTTGGTTGTTCCAATGTTTAAGAATATTTCTTAATATCCAATTACACCACTGTTCATGTCATGAGTTGAAGGACTTCTTGAATTTAATCTAATTGTTCGGATCTCTAAAAGGTTCAAAATTTGAAGTTGTTGTCCATTTAACTTCAAGTTTATTATTGATATGTGCTTAAAAACATACCTCTAACAGGCTTAGCTATTCTAAGGAAATATGGCCAGCTAATGAATTTGGACATAAATACATACCTCATTGGGATGCTTGCTTTCATTACCCTTTGAATTTTCTTTAGACTCTTCAAATTTTCTTGGCGTGTGAAAAGACAAATTTACCATTTTTTTAATTTAAATTTGGAGGTAGGTCCAAATTTAAAAAACAAGCTTCTTCCCTCTCATCCTGTTCTTCACGTTTGTTTGTTTGTTTGTTTCTTATTCGGAAATGAAGCATCCGGGTCGGGGGATACATAAAGGAGGGCATCGAGAAATAACGATGATATTCTTGCTCTCTAGTTTAGGTGTGAATGGACCGAGGGAACTTGTTTGTGGCTTTTCTCATAAGTCAGAGAAGGGACCAAAAGAAAAGATAGAAAAGAATGAAGGAAAATGATCAAGAGTCTTTTTGTTTGATCTTGATTCTGATCGAGTTTAGGCTAGGGTTATTTTCCTTAATTGAATTTGATAATTACGAGGACTTGGTGAAAGTTGTTTTTTTTTTTCTTTGGATGATTTGAGAGAATACCATTAGTGATTGGAATAGATTTTATAATGAAAAAAGGGTAATATCTGATTAGATGATTAAATGGCTGAAAAAAAGTATTGAAATGTAAAATAGAGAAGGTAGTTCAGATGGAAAGCAACATATATCTTGAGGTGCAAATCACTTAAACAACAATGTTTAACCATGTATTACTAGAAGATCGTTCCTACTGAAAACAACGTGGTTGATCAGAAGAGGATTAATGATAAGAAGTTTGGTGCACGACTTTCAAACATTGATAAGGTTGTGTATAGGAATGCTGAGAAGACTAAGAATGAGTGGTTGAGGGTGCTACAAAAATGACACCAAGATGAAGAAGAAAAGTCATAAAAATAGCAAATTGACTATGTTTGATTAAACGGCTTGATTGTCGTACAAAGAGACTCATTCGTTGTATGGAGGGAATTGGGGCGACCTGAAGACGAGAAAGATGTTCCTATATCAAATGTCTAAAGTATAGAAAGACATTCATTTTCGAACGTCAGAAAATACTTTGGTCCAAACAATCGAGCTTGTGAATAACGATGAATCGGTAAGCACCCAATAAACAAATAAACAAGGATTCAAAGATGGACCACAGATTAAAACTAAACAAAGTTGAGAAAACAAGAGAGTTTGTGAATAAAGAAGCAATAATGAGGAGCGCACTGAAAGGGCATAATAGAGCCAATAATGACAGAAGATAATGAAGAAAAAAAAAAGTGTCAACATCGTTGACAGAAAAATGCACCACCAACCAAAATGCAAAAGAAAAGTATTATGAACAGTCTTTTACTTTCCAAACTCAACTTCTCTTTTGCTTCTGCTTCTGCTTCTGCCATTTTTTCAAGTTTATAATAAGATCAACCAACCAATCCATTAATAACCAGCTTTCTATTCCACTTGGATCACTAATAATTCAAGCATCCAAGAACTAATAACACTCAGCAGTTCATAAGAACACAGCTAAGAAAGATCTGCAAGTGAAAGGACAGAGTTGAGGGAGATGGATCCATAATTTGATAACCCCATCCTTTTATCATCTCCATTATTGCAGACAAACATGTCTAGCAGCGCAGCAAGCAGTAATATAGGCTGTGGGGACTCATTGCAGAAACAAAGTGTCCCCTGAAAAGGAAGGAATTAACAGCCAAATCATTCACTCGACTGACTGCTTTGTTTTGCCAACAAATCTTTAATGAAAGATGAAAAGAACAGAAAAAATGTGGAATCCAACCAACCAAATGCATGCAGCATTCAAGAGCACTTCTTTCCCAAGCTTTCTGTTCTAAATTCCTTAGTTTATGATTCTTCTAATCACAACCAGTCATGTGATTGATAGCAAGAATTTGTGGTAGGACGACTGGAAAGATGCCTACAGCATAAGAACCCTACACCTGAAGCGTGAATGGAGATAACCTGAAAAACCCATGTGACACTTTGGCAGACTGACTTCAGGCCAAGCTACTCAAATAAAGCTAGCTTATGATGAACTGGATTGACAGGGCTGACAGACACAGTATTGGGTTTCTTATATTTTTGGGACCATCTACTGTGTATTAACAGATCCCGCCTTCTCAGTTGGAAAGGGAAACGAAACATTCCTTATAAAAATATGAAAACCATTTTCTAGCAGACGCGTTTTAAAATCATGAGACTGACAGTAATATGTAACGAGCCAAAGCAGACAATATTAGATAGCGGTCGACTTGGGTTTAGCTTCGGAACAAATGACATTACAATATTTACTGGATTTTCTAATAGATGAAAAGATTTGATATCTTTTTCTTCCATCCTGTCTTATCTGAGAAGCTGAATGATGAGATGGGTTCAGTATTGGTGCTATTAACTCAAGATATATTCTCTTTTGTCCTAACAGAGCACAAGAAATCGTATCCATTCATTTTCAAATTGTATCTGAATCGTTCAAAATATAACTATAGACCTTTAAACAAGTTGAACTGTTAATCAATCAAGAACTCAATCCTTTAACTCTCCTAATCAAGTGCACTAAGAACAATAAGAGCAAAGAAAGTTCTTCATTAATAATGTTTGCTTTTCCTTTTAAGTCCACTAGAGATGATTGCAAACCAAGCACTTTGTAAACAGAAAGAGGCATTTATTAGAATTCCAATCACAAAGAACACAAGTACACAATGATGAACCACTTATGGCCCCATCACAACAGTTTCTCAATCATGATTAAAAATGATGATGGAATGACATCAGGAATCTGAGGGGAAGTTTCAATACCGCTTATCGGTCATGGTTTGTTTTCTTGGCTAGGATAATCCCCGAGGTGCTCCGTTCCCCAGCTTTCGTGGGGAGCAACGTGTTCACGAAAAGGAGTATGTTCCTGGATGAAATGAAACCGAAGTTATCAAATCAGAATCAAAACGGGTTTAGAATATAGTTTTATGTAATTCTTACTAGCAAAACAAAAGGTTATGGAGAGAAAGCAAATGTATAATCGCCATATCATATGAAACCGAACCCCTAAATCAATTCTAGAAGTCAACACAAAATGTTCGATTATACCCCGGTAGAAGCATCTAGTTATTGTGAATCTCTAAGATATACAAATCACTTCGTTCTATGTTTATGTAGTTCTCCTATATTGCTTTCTGCAAAAATTGGAGTAGGAGGGTGTCACATACCTCCATTTTTTCCATTAGTTCCTTTGCTGTTGGAGCAGATATCACAATTTCTCGAGCAACGGGCTTAATGAAACCTTCAACCACGCCATTATCGAATAGTGCCAACAAAGAGTTGTAGTAACCATCAACATTAAGCAGGCCAATCTGAGCAGAGTACAAGCTTAACAGAGTTTGTTTACATTGGATCCTTAACCACAGAGTTAGCACAGGTTACACTTACTGGTTTCTTGTGGATACCGAGTTGCGCCCACGTTATCATCTCCAACAGCTCTTCCATAGTCCCATACCCTCCTAAAGCAAACAAAAACCTTATACAATCTATACATCTAATCCTCCAATCTAATGAATAAGCAGGACAAAATGCAGCAACTATGAACGATAATGTAGAACCATCTATAAAGTTGTTAGCATGAATTCTCCACAAAATTACCAGGAAGAGCAATGAAAGCATCGGATTCTCGAGCCATCGCAGCTTTTCGTTCATGCATGTCCAAAACTGTTCTTACCTCTCCCACAGTTTCCCCAGAAATCTACCAAGATCATCCAAGACAATTTACCAACCAATATGTGATCATTTCCCTTCTCATAATTTACATTGATAGAAACAAAGAACACTAGTTTAGCTTAGATGAAGAATCAAGCATGTACCTCATGAGGCATCAGAGCTTTCGGAATGATCCTGCATGTAAAGAGAAATCCATTAATGTGCACTTCAAAAACATTAAATTCTTGCATTATCAATGAAGGGAATGGAATAGAAAACTGCCCAAATTGTGATTCTATCCTACCCAAGAACATGGCAGCCTCCATCGTATACAGTTTGTGATATCAAGCCCATCAAACCAACACTTCCGCCACCGTACACCAAATCAATCTTCCTCTCAACCTGTAATTCACTCCATTAAACTAAACGGGATCGATGAAATAAGAACAAAATAACTTTCAATGAAGAATCGACGAAGAAAAAGTGAAATGAACGCATAACGAACATACCAGTTCATTTCCCAAATCAAGAGCGGCATCGCTGAAGACTTTGCGATGGCCAGAGTTGCTGCCGCAGAAGACGCAAACCCTCTTGAACTTGCTTTTAGAATTACTCTCTTCCATTCAAAATCGAAGCTATTCTCAATATGATTCGAAAAGAAACATTGGGAAAAGGCAAGAACTAACAAAAGGAGTAGCGAAGAACAAGAAAAACAGCAGCACAAGCAGAAGCAGAAGTATCTTCTGCAGATTATATCCTTCTAATCGGCGAAGAATTGGAAGTCTTCCCAAAAATGGAGCAACAAAACAAAACAAAACAGAATTTCAGGACCATTACTCCAAAAGACAACAAGGGCCAAGGCGGGTTTCGATGATCCTGAACAAATGGAGAGAAAAACGGCAACTAGAAATGGAAAAATCAATGGGATTCCTTATATACCAAAGCACGAGCAGCCGTCCATCTCCATTTTGTCGCCTATCAGAATCATGATCATCGCTATCACTGTAAATACTTAAACTATAAACCCTCAGAATTAAAAGTAATTGAAATTTGAAACAGATAAAAAAAAGGGAAACAACTCGCCAATATCGCGACTCAAATCGCTCCAAAATCATTATAAAAGCCAAGTCTCGATCGGAGATGATAGATGTTTGAGTTGACTCAGCATCGATTAGAATTGGGTCCTTTTTTCAGTGTTTAATCGGACCCATTTACACTATAATAATCTTGGATTAACACTTTGACATTCCCACGCTATCATTTCTAATTGGCTCCTCTGCTTTACATTTAATTTGGCTCCTTCCTTTCTTATATCAGATTCTTCCTTTTCCCTCTTTTTTATTTCCTTCTTTTTTGTTCTTGCTGATCGTCAATAATTACTACACACGCAAATCATTGTCCTCATCTCTCTGTTTGCAATAGATTTCATAAAAAGGAATGGTAGATGGTTCTTTATATTTAAATATCCATCATTTTTTTATCATATGCTCAATAACTCATACAATACTTCATGTTGTCACATCATGGTGCTTATTGAAAAAAGAAATCTTATTTCTATCAAAGATTTAATAAAAAAATTATAAACTAAAATTTAATATTTTTCATGATAAAATCTCAAGTGTCAATTTTTAATAATGTTTTTTTTTTAAAATAAGAAGGTAGAAAATATTTAAAATAAATAAATATTTAAAATAAACATATAAAGGTTGAAGTGTTTGTTGGCATGCTAATTAAAATGGGCCTTAAATGCAATGTGTACTAATAAAATAAAGTTAGGTAAATGTTATTAATAAATGTAACATGCGATGCAAACCTATTCTTCTTTTTTTAATCTATGTATATGATTATGCTATTTAATGCATTTTTATTTGGAAAAAAAGGTATTAATAAACATCCATTTTGTCTTTCAATTTCAAATATTATACTTTGGTTGCATGCGTGTGTGTATATATATATCTCATTTGATATTTTTAGCAAATGATATTAATTTATTTTATTTTTAAAAAATTTAAAACGTCAATTAGGTTTAATTTTAAATAAATAATTATTTAAATTATTTGTAAACGGTTTGCTCTCGAATGTTACTAAAAGGATGAAAATGTTTTAATTTATATCACTATAAATATCAACGTCTTACTAAAATATAAAAAGAATTTATGGATAGTGTGAATGTTTGATTAATCCACCACTCCTAAATGGTGTGAGAGTTATCTTATTTATAATCAAATGAATTACAAGGATATGGAAATAGTAATAAATGGAAATAACAATAAATGAAAAGATACCTATGATAATAAGGCAAATATCTAATATTTGCCTTATAATAAAATATCAAATATAATATATATGTTTAACTATAATTTATTACTAAATATCCTTAACAGATAGTGTTACAATAAGATTCAAATATTTATCAATATATGATAAAATATTATTAAAATGAAAGTCAAAATTGAACCGGTTATTTTCTCACAAAAAAAAAAAACATGGATATTAGTGTCGGCAATGTTTATATCATCTATTTAGTCAACCAGATTATTTAGGTTAAATTAAAAGTGTTTAGTGAATATTATTTTAAAAAGTTAGAAATAATCTATTATTTATTAAAACAAATATGGTATTGCAAAATTTATTTGGAAGAAAACGAAAAAACATGTGCCATTGGATTTCGCGTTATCTTGACGATTGGTCGTCCCAGATGTCACCAGCTCGCTGTCCAATTGGGCAACCCAGATGTACCTTTGATATATATATAATATTATTTTTCTTTTTTTGAGACTTGAATTAAATATAGTGATATTTACATAAAATATATTTGAATTTTGAAATGGCTTTACTTTTTTACCGTATCGATAACGACAAAATGGGCATTTCAAACAAACAAAGTCCGTAAGTCAGACTAAATTATTTGTTTTTTTAGAATCAATTTGTTGATTGACGTGGAATAAAATAAAATAAAAACACACAAAAAGATTGACGTGGAATATAATTTTGTAAAATAAAGAAAGGGAAATTTTTTAAAAATATGCAATTCTGTTTTTTATCCATTTTTGTTGTTTATGTATTTTACAAGAGAATCATTTCTTCATAATCTCGACAAAAATAAGGATTTTATGAAATAACTAATTAAATCTAAAATATATTTTATGAGACCGTCAACGATTTATTATTATTATTTTATGCAAAACTCAATTATTCATCTTTAAAAAGTTAAAAAAAAAACCAGTAAATTAAAACGAGGCTTTATACAATATGATTCGACTTTTGTAATAGTCGAGAAAAAGTAGACAAAAAAGTGAAAACTATTTTTGTGTCAATTTACATTATTAAATATTTGTATAGATAAAAATAAATATCTTATGTGTTGAGCTAGATTGGAATCTAAATAAATAATAATAATAAAAAAACCACATACCCTATCCTATGTCATACAAAAATTACTTTCCACGTTAAAATTTAAATAATTTTTTTAGTGAAATAAAACTGAATTAAAATGTGAAAAAAAAACGTAGTGAAATATAAAAAATTGAATAGAAGTAAAACAATGATTTAAAAAGCATTGGATTCCAAAGTGGGGATTAGATCGGACGGTGGGGATTCCCCGAGAAGGAACTAAAGAAGAGGGCATTAATAGAAGTATGTTTAGAGGAAGATTTGTCAGATTGGAGCTTTTGGTATGCAGCCGTGCCTGCCAGCGTGACTTTTCATGGATTTTTTGTTTTTGGAAACCGTGGGGATGGTATCGTAATAATGTAAAACCCCAGGGGTAAAAAAGGAATCTTGAAATGAAGCGGGACAAGTAGGCGTATGCGAACTCCATTGTTGGGCATTTTGAAATTCAAATGCGAAGCTCTGGTTGGTTGTTGTGGTTGAAACACTTTTTTGTCTCTCTCACACGACACGACCCACAAAGTTTTTGAATTTTTGGATTTCAGTTGCAAGAGAGTGACATTCTTCTTCCCCTCCCCTACACAAAAAGCCTGCAATTTTTCTTCTTCCTGTCCTGAAAATCTACCTCTCCTCTTTAAGTTTTCACTATTGATATCTCTGTTTCGTCTCTGATTTCATGGGGGGTTCTGGGAAATGGATGAAGGTTCTTATAGGACAGAGGAAGTCTGATAAGGAAGACAATGTGAGCAAAACTAAGAAATGGAGGCTATGGAGGAGCCCTTCAGGGGATTTGAGCTCTGCTTGGAAGGCTTATAAAGGGGCACATAAAACAGCTTCTGAAGGCTCTCATTCTCCTCGAGCCCCTGATTCTTTCACCGTCGCTGTCGCCACTGTCCTCCGTGCTCCGCCCAAAGATTTCAGGCTGGTTCGCCAAGAATGGGCTGCAATTCGTATCCAAACTGCATTTCGCGGTTTCTTGGTACAACTCTTACTTGTTTGATGCAATATATTATAATCTTAACCAACTAGTCACACTCAAAGTTCAACAAAAAAGAATAGAGGTTCTACTTCTCAAGCTTGTTAGTGTTAGATGGTTCCACTTTCACTTCAAATGGCAGCTTTCGTGAGTCTTTTAACTTAGATTTAGGACACAATGTCAAGTACTTTACTGATTTGTTAGTGGAACTTTTTGGTTTTGCAGTCTAGGAGGGCTCTTAGGGCGTTGAAGGGAGTGGTGAGGCTTCAAGCTCTGGTGAGGGGTCGTTTGGTGAGGAAGCAGGCAGCTGTTACCCTGAGGTGCATGCAGGCTTTGGTTCGAGTTCAAGCTCGAGTCAGGGCTCGTCGTGTGAGGATGTCAGTAGAGGGACAGGCTGTGCAGCAATTGCTTGATGTACATCGCAGCAGGGCTGATCTCTTGAAGCAAGCTGAGGTCATTATAATAGAAGGAGAGACTGTCATTCTGATTTGTGCACTTAAAGATGGCATTGAGAACTGAAGAAACAATTTGGTTAATTTGCAGGAGGGTTGGTGTGAGAGCAAAGGGACATTGGAAGATATCAAAGCTAAGTTACAAATGAGGCAAGATGGAGCATTTAAGAGGGAGAGAGCCATTGCATACTCTCTTGTTCAAAAGGTATGGACGAAATTAGTTTTTCTTTAGAGAAAGCATGTTACAGTTTGGTTCTTATGTGTATCTTTGACTGTTCAGCAATTGAAGGCAACACCAAGCTCAACCTTGCGAATGGATGCTTCGGTTTACGCTCTTAAGAATTATAAGTTCGACAAGAACAATTGGGGATGGAGTTGGTTGGAGAGATGGATGGTGGCGAAGCCATGGGAGACTAGGTTGATGGAACAATCACGCACTGATTCGATTGAAGTCACTCCACCTTCAAAGAGCTGTACAGAGTCTGTTGTGTCTAAACATTCCAAAGGTTCTGAACCAAGTTTGGTGAAAGTTCGGAAGAACAATGTATCAACTAGGATATCTGCTAAACCTCCCTCAAGTGGGCAAGCTCGTTCTTGTTCTAGCCCAAGTTCTGATTTCTGGTATGATGAGAGCTCTGCTTCATCTTCAATCTGCACATCGACGACTCCCGTTTCAGGGCATGCTTTCTCAACCATAGAAAGAACAGATAACAGCAGTAACAGTAGGCCGAGTTACATGAACCTTACCGAGTCGACAAGGGCGAAGCAGAAGACAAATAGTCACTTATCGCACCGAATTCAAAGGCAGTCCATGGATGAATTTCAATTCCTTAAGAAGTCGGCAGCTTTCTCCAATGGGGATTCTAAGAGCAGTGCTGGCTCTGATTCATCAGTCAACCCCTTCAAGCCATTGATGCTGCCAACCCAATTGGGTAAGAATGGAACAAAGCTAAGGTCATGAGCAATAAGATAGAGGCCCTGTTTCTGGTCATTCTAGAAGAAGAGTTCTGCACTGCCTTATATCTTAATTCCTTCCATCAAAATTGTGTATCACTAGAGAGAGTTTGTATTGTTTCGAAGGCCACGTTGAACTAAAACAACCTGCAATGTCCAATGGAGAATGGTTCGTTCCTCTTGTTGGTCTTTAGTTATCCATCTTGTCTTTCCCACTTATGCACATGATCTTTAGAACAATTAGCCTAAGCTTTCAAGAAACATACATAATCTTCTTTTCTCATAGTTTTGATGATAGATACTTGCATTCAAACTGAAAGCAGAACATTCTGCTAATTGAAATGACTTAATGTGCGAAGTCCTAAACCACAGAAATGAGAACAATAGACCAGAAACGACTTAGCCTGTTCTAGATATGAAAACTTCTTCTGAAGATCATTGTCTATTGGTATCTGATCTGATTGACCAAAGTTGTCGATCGCTTCAAGCAACTTCTTCCCGACTTCCGGATGTCCAGCAACTAAATATACAACAGAAGACAAAGGGAACGCCGTGGTAGCTGACCCAGCAACAAGTAGGGTGTTCGTATGTGACTGCGCTGATGTAGAGTCTGGAGTGAAAACATTCCTTCATACCGTCCCCTCGAACGTTACGCTTCATTCTCTTGTCAACAATCTCGTTAAGCCGACCATTCAACTTCTGATTTGTTCGGTCAACTTTCCCGTCCATGGGGAATGGTATTCTCTTCAGGACTTGTCTAAATGGTTCTTCGAGTATAAGAACAAGTAGTCCCAATATGATAGATGGATGGATGAGAATGGGGCATGTCAGAAAGTAAATGGATAATGGTAGGGTCGGGGCATGGAAAAAAGGATATGGGGATAAGAGAGTAATTGAATAAAAATGATGGATTTGTGAGTTTCAAAGATGGAATGATAAATAAGGCTTATAGATTGTCTCAGTCCTGACCCACTTTGTCATGCAGATAAAACCAGAGTGGCCCTAGACCAGCCATACTTCAGTTAGCTGATAGGATTGGGAATTGGACATTTTTCTAAAAGAAAAGCTTGGGGGGTCTTTGCGAATTGTGAAACATTCGTGTCCAAACTTAAAATAGAGCGGAATATGAAATTGTTCATAGAACTTCTAATATATCTTATCTTAATCCCTCGCCACCATTTCTAAAAAGTAACCATTTTGACTTCGAATATGCTCACTTGCATATTTTCAAGGCCGCACAATCAATTTATTCAAAGAATAAAGGAACTAAAATGGAGTTTAATCCGAGCAAAATCAGTATCATTCACAGAGAAATGAATTGTTTTTCTATCCCCCTTTTGACTAAAGTTTTCTTTTTCTAGAAAACTTCATTAACGCTTAGCTATCTGTAAAAAACAAATTTTCCAGCTTTAAAAAACATTTGAAAGCAGTTTTTCTTTTCCCTCGTGTTTCGCGGTGTGTGGTTTAAAAGTGTGTTCTCATCTCTTTTTGGAAACTGTGGGCGCAAATATATAAAGTAAAAGAGTAGAAATGGTGGAGAACCATCGTGGAAAGAAAACTAACTTGGTAGTTGGTAGGCCCTGCTCTCGGATTTCAACATTTCCTTTCCTGTAGGAAAAAAAAAAACACCAAAAAGGAATTCTAATCAGTCTAGAAGACTTCCAATTTAATGCATCCAAGTTTTAAGAACATTGAAAAACCAATCACACATGCAACCAATGGACGTCGTTTCCAGTTCCCTTCCACTCACCACCGTAAACGCAACTATCAGTCATAAATTATCACCCAGAAACCCCTGAGGTAGCCAATTCCCCAAGATCCGAATAGACATCAATGAAACCATGCAGTAAATAGAGCATGAGCGTAAGAGGGAGCCATATATGGCAGACGCAAGCACAAATGTTCGATTCCAAAAATTTCAAACTATAACTTCTCGATTTTCGAGTAATCATCACCCAGCACTCCGACACTAGATTCGTGTAAACATATAATCTCTTACCGTTTTCCCTAAAACTCACCCTACGATACCAATAGTTATGGTAGATTCGTCAAATCGTTAATCAAAAGCGAAAGAAAATCCACATGATACAACAGGTACGCGAAGGATAAACAGCGATCCATTTATTTTCAGTAAATACGAAATCAGAGACCTAAACAAATATATCAATGATGCCGGAGAAATTACCAAACTCTCGAAATAGTAAGTATCAACGCCGAGACACCGCCAGCGGCACATTGCAATGGCCGTCAGAGTTCTTCCGGCGAATCATCGGAAATTTCAGAAAACAACCATAGTAATCCTAACAGGCCAACTCAAGTTCAGTATCGTTCTTGGGAATCAAATAACGATCGCAGAGATTGTCCAGAACAATAATATGGGCCTCGGCCTCAGATTTAGTTGGGCCGGATTTAATCAAAAATATCAAAGCCCAAACTACTCGAAATGTTGGGTCCGATCCATTCATCCAATGGCCCATCAATAATATGAAACTATTTTAAAAAATATTTAATATTTATATCTATTTAGCTTATGAATTTTAAAAGATAATTTTATATTTAATAGATTATTGACCTATTGGTATTAATTTTAATTTTTTAATTAAAAACAATGTGGATTATATTTGCAATCTTTGTTCACTATTATTTTAATTAAATAAGCTAATAGTTAATATAAAAAATAAAAATAATAGGGTGGGTGCAAAACTGGGGCAGCAGAAACCCGATGCGTACCACTTGCTTATAGATTCCAAATGCATGCAATAATCTTAGACTTACTTTTTATTTAATAATTATGAATAAATATTATTTAAAAAAAAAACACATAAAAGACAAAGTACCTTAAACGCATCACATGCATTTCCATAACCTTTCCGAATATGAAGAGCCCCTCCTTCTTTCTTTGTCGTTTTCTCCTCTCACTCTAGCTTCACTCTCAACAGCCTTTGTGTTGCGAATTCTAGTCAGATTATTCGAACACCACTCTCCATGATATGATATTTGTTAACTTTGAGCATAAACTCTAAATAAACTCAGAGATAATTTTTTTATTATAAATTCATAATTATTCTCATTATTAAATTACTTTTATTTAATTATTTTTAAAAATTTTAATTATTCATTATATTAACTACTAAAATTTCATAAAATTTAAATATTAAATATTTACTCATCCCATCGGTAACTGTTTGCCACACTCCCACGTCACCCGATTTTGATCGGTGATGGAAAATCGGAGCACCGATGGAAGGGGGGCTACCGGCTACGTGGGGGACGAGAAGGGAAGGCGGACAAAGGTTTAGATCATTACGTAAGCGGGGCCAGGCGGTGATTTGTGACTGTCATGTCAGTTTGCGTCACCCATGTGTCATGATAGCCAGTCAACGAATTTAATTTACCTATCTGAAAATAAATACATTGGTACTCTATAATTCTATTTATATAAATAAATATATTTCGGATAATTCTGTGTATATGAAGGGGGCACTATCCAACGGCGCCGACAGATTTAAGGAGAGACGAAATGACATGAAAGCAACCACTGAGTAACACCGGCGTCACGCGTGTTTTCCGACACTGTTTGTAATGGGCCATCGACCCGGATTCCATATCCGGGTCATGGGATTAGCCCACCCAATGGATACTTGACACGTAATAAAAGGTTCAATGTGTTGGTGCCTTAATTTCGATAGACGAGGATAAGTGAAGGTAATCTTTGCCACCATTCTCGTATAGTTACTATACAAAAATCTCTATCCTCTTATCCTCTGTTCTCTGTCTTATTTGGTGTTGGTGTCACACGGATTAAAACACGGATGTATCTCAATACATTCTTCTTGATGGCCAACATCTTTGCTGACACATCATTCGTTAAATCTCACTGTTAATAAATATTGTCCTCTTTAAGCATTTTCTTATGAGCTATTCCTCAATGATGTAAAATGTATAGATCTATCCACACCTTTATAGGAAATGTCTTGTTATTTTCTCTAACCGATGTAAGATCTGATGTATGGAGATAGAAGTAATGAAAACGATGACGAAAAATGTGGGGTAAACTAGATTGTGTGTGACACATTAATGAATGCAAAATGGGAATAATACTTTGTAATATATAGGATGATGTAGTGTGAGGAAGGAGCATGGTTTGGGTATTTTTAAATTTAGTCACAAATAACTATGGGCGAGATGGTGATGTAGAAATTTATTATTTAAAGAAACTGTGGGGTGTTATAATGAATAAGGAAATGTACTGGGGTAGGAACATGATTGGACATAAGAAAAGGGGTGGAACTGGAATTAATGTAAAATACAGGACGAAATTAATAATGGTAGCTTTTGAGTGTAATTGTGGGGCTTCCAAATTTAACGTTTAAAGTGGGTTTATTAATTATGATTATTATATCTTTTTTAATTACTCGGAAAACTGAGGATCTTTTTTTTAATTTAGGGGTGTGGGGGCCACCAATGTTTTGATCATCTCCTCCACATATGGCAGACACCGCAGTGGCCACCATCAACGGTGGAATTTAAACGTGGACTTTATGGGTAAAGGTCCACGTCAGCCTCATAAAATTTTACTGCCCATTTTTAATTACCATGGCTGGGAATGCACGTGGCGTGGTGAAAGGTGGGGTATTTTATTTATTATTTATAATTTATTATTTATTTTAGGCCCACGATTTCTCCATGAGCAGAGGGAAGTAAATGGGGTGGCCACGTGTAAGGAAAGGATCGTCATGGTGACGAGGGAAGTGAAGGTTCGCTCCTATGATTATGTCATGGAAGTGGGGCCCGGTGTGACTGGTCAGCATGTAGTCCACGTCAGATGACATTTTTTCTGTATATAAAGACTATAATATAAATTACTGAAGTGGCAATGGTAGAGGGTTTTATCTTTTGGTGACGTCAAGGAGCAATCTTACTATTCGACGTCTAAGTCAAAGTGACGTCATGGTTATTTACTGCCCATGTGATCCTTTCTCCCACGCTAATGCATGGGCAAATATCCAGTACATTTGAACCACATTGTATATCAATACACCCCAATTATCCCACACGCCTCTTTCCATCGTGTTATCCACTCGATTCATCACCCATAATCATGATTACTAACAAAGCCAACCAACCTATCCAAGCTCAACCCACCGGTCCACCGGTTAAGTCGAAAAATCAAGCTTTTTTTTTTTTTTTTTTTATTTTTTTATATCAATAATAGAATTAGTTTAGACGTTTAATTCGATTAATCCAAATCTTGTTTGACCGGACAATTATACGTGATAGATCCTACCTTGGTTGGAAAGAGAAATTAAATCATTTTTTATAACGATGTGAAAACCTTTCGCTAATAGATGCATTTTAAGATCGTGAGGCTGATGACAATATGTAATAGGTCAAAACATATATTATCTATTAGCAATGGGTTTGGACTGTTACACATGGTATTAGAGCTAAACACGGAGTAGTGTGCTATCGAGAATAATGTCCCCCCAAAGGGGTGAATTTTGATATCCCACATTAGTTGGAGAGGGAAATAGAGTATTTTTTTATAAGAGTGTGAATACCTCTGATGTCCCACATTAGTTGGGAAGGAGAACAAACCACCATTTATAAGGGTGTGGAAATCTTTACCTAGCAGACACGTTTTAAAGCCTTGAGGGGAAGCCCGAAAGGGAAAGCACAAAGAGGATAATATCTGCTAGCGATGAATCTGGATCGTTACAATACCTCTCCCTAACGCATTTTAAATTATGAAGCTGACAACGATAAGTAATAGATCGAAGTAGATAACATATGTCTAAAGGGCGATTACATGCTTTCTTGGAAGGGAGCGTGTTAGACACGCGCTAGAAGTGAGTATTGTAGAGGTATAAAGGAAGTCATAGTTTGTGAAGAGGAGTGGGAAAATAAAAATAAAATAATTGTAAGAATGAAGTGGAAGATGAAAGAGTGATGTAAGCAAAGGGCACACACTGTCCACTCTGTTTTTTTTTATAAAACCACTCCTCTTCTCCCTTAGTCCCCGCTTCCACCCCACTTCCTCGTTGACATTATTCACTCCTTTTCTCTCTCTTTCTCAATTTTTTTTTATTCCGTTACTTTCTCTCTCTAAATCCCTCCGGCGATGCAAGGCCTAAGACGCTGCTCCAACGACCTCCTCCTCCTCGACCTATCTCCGCCTTCCTCCGTCCCCTCCACGGCCTCGCTTTCCATCGACGATGCCGAGTCCGCCGAGACAAGAATCCGTCGCCTCATCTCCGAACATCCAGTCATCATCTTCAGCCGCACTTCTTGTTGCATGTGCCACGTCATGAAGAAGCTTCTCGCCTCTATCGGCGTTCACCCTACCGTCATCGAATTAGACGACCACGAGATCGACGCTCTCGCCTCCTTCTCCTCCACCACCCCCGCAGCCGCTCCTGCCGTCTTCATCGGTGGCTCCTACGTCGGCGGCCTTGAATCCCTCGTCGCACTCCACCTCAGCGGCCACCTCGTACCTAAGCTTGTCGAAGTCGGCGCTCTCTGGGTATGACTTTGAATCACCCACATCCCTTGTAATTTCAATTTCAATTTATATCATTGTAATTTAAAAAAAAAAAAAAAAAAAAAAAGGAAAATTAAACAAACCCCTTGTAATTGAAAGAAAATATTTTTAGTGGGAAAAAAAAAAAATAATGGATCTATGGTGTTGTTGTTGTTGTTGGTGGTGGTGGTGAAATCAATAATTAAAAACCCCGATGATGCTGGAGAAAAGGAAATTGTGAAGAATAATCCCGGTACGATGGCGGCAAGTAGGCTATTTTAGTATACTCGCGAGATAAGGCATGACACGTGGTCGGATGAGGTAGATGAAATGAAAGCAGGACTGGTGGGTCCCACGTAAATTATTAAGTAATCAGCACCGTTGAATATGTAGACTTCTGTATTTATACTTATACACTACTCTTTTACTGTGTCGAATATATATTTTTTTTTACCGTTATGCAAGTTAATCTATAATTAAGAGAATCTAAGTAGGGTTTAGGGTTTAGATTAAGAGAAAAATGAGTAATTAATGGTATAATTATTTAATTTTGACAATGACGAGGTAACGGTGAGGGAGTACTTACTGTACTTGAGATATTCTGACAGCAATTTCTCCAATAATTGAAGAAAAACCTTTTTTTTATTTTTTTTATTTTTTAATATGTATCCCAATAAGGAAAAGACTAATAAAGGGTGATGGAGTATTAGGAGGTGATAATTAAGGGTAATTAAGTGGGTCCAACATCTTCCACTATCTCTAATCATTTACATTTAAAATAAATTAAAGCT